TGAGAAGAGATGCAAGACAAATAGCAGTAGTAATTAAACGCCTTGAATAATCAGTTAAAGCAAAATAGTCTAATTCCAATATAAACGATAACGTAATTATGATGACCTTGAACATGAATCTAATATGGTATAAAAGGGGCTCGATTAGCACATGAATAAATAATATAAACTAAGTGCTTGATTAGCACATGAGTAGTATAATGAATGAATAGTATAACAAATGAATAATATAAAACAWGTGCTTGATTAGCACATAAACCTGATATAGTGAATAATAGTATAATATGCAGCTCGTCAGCTGATTACCTTTAGAACTGGTGTCCGTTAGCGGCTTCGAACCAAAAACGCTACCGCCTCAGGATGCACACATTTGAACAATAAAAAAAAAATAACAATAATATTATAAAACTAAATGTGTGACAGTCCCAAGGGTGTACGGCTAACGGGTCACCAGCCATTGAGTATAGATAGTATACTATCTATATATACTATCTATACTATCTATACTCAATGCTAGTATGATGTCTGGAGCACAGTTTTGAGCTGGCCAAAATCCGTTGTGCATTTATACCACAGTTCTCAACAAACAACACCCACTGACGCCTCTGTTGGTCATTCGCTGGAAACCTAATTTAACCATTAAATTATGAATAGTTTTAGTGTGAGTTTAGATTGAGTTTTTAATAAAATTATGGTAACCTGTGCAATGAAACCCCATCAACACCATCAACGTTTCCGCAGATCAAACACAATTTAACCATAGTGATGTGCCTAAAGTTTGACATTTTAAAGAAAATATAAAATTAGTGCCCGATGATACGGCAACACGGGAATTCCAGAAGGTTTGTGTTATTTTTAGTAGGAGTGTGTATACCGTACACTTAAGATGGTACAAAAATTGTTTAAGAAATGTCCCTAACGTACAAAACAAAAGCTTAAGAAGAGAATATGACAAAATATCGTGTTGAAAAAGCGTGACGTACGTAACGGGAATGTAATTCAACATCTACCGATCGATGATCTTGGGAAAGAATGTAGAAATAATAGAAACATTGAAATGCAAAAAAAAAAACGCGACATCTTCGAAATAGCAAGTTTGGATTTTGAGGGAGCACGCTCGGAAAACAATGCATGTTACTTTTTAAATTAGGCGTAAATTGATAATTGGGTGAGGGGTGACTGTAATGATGGACGTATACACATGTACATGAAGTTGCCCCCCCCCCCACAACGCACTTTGTCCGTTCAACTTCAAAATACCACCAAATAATTGCAAATCGAGTTTCGCTAATTGCAAATCATCCAGTTTTGAGTAAACTCAAATTCAAAATTGGGGGGCCAACTTCATGTAGCCTCCCTACTTTTTATGATCGACATCAAAATACTACCAAATAATTGCAAATTGCAAATCGAGTTTCCCTAATTGCAAATCGTTTTTTATATTTTTACGAATTTTTCAATTTTTTAGCCAGCCCCCCCCCCACACTTTGTTCGATCGACATCAAAATACTGCCAAATAATTGCAAATCAAGTTGCCCTAATTGCAAATAGGTTTTTATATTTTTTAGCCAGCCCCCCACTTTGTCCGATCGACACCAAAATACTGCCAAATAATTGCAAATCGTTTTTTTTTCTTTTCATCTCTCCCCATAGGTCCAATTGTATGGTAATCCTTCAAACGATTTTTTTTTCATCAAATAAGTGATTTAGTGACTTACCTACTACGCTAATTTATTTTAATTTTACCATTAGTTTTTTTTTTATATGACATAATAATATTAGTTAGTACCTACCTTGTATGATTAGGTAAATTAATTAATTTCCAAAAATAATCATATATATATTTTTTTAAACATTTTGTATTTTTTTTATTAAATATTAATGTAAAATAATTGTTAGAATTCTTCTTGAATATATATATAAGAAGGTTCACACTTGTTTTTTGAGCGTTTATAGGTGATTTAATTTTTTTTTTGCAGGTCGTTATGCGTTTCCCATTGTGAGATTACGGAGCTTTCTAGGGTTCCGCAAAACACCCACAACTTGAGGGGAACACCCAAGTTGTGACCTACGAGCCGCGCAGCGTGACGATCCTAAGATTGTCGCAGCGGAACTCGTAGGKTTTAACACTATGGGGTAATGAAACGCCATTTTCAAATAGTACTTGGATAACCCATAACTTAAAACTAGGGAAACAGGTGACCAATAAATAAATAAAAAAAAATGAATTTTAGAGTAATAATAACAATTTGTATTATACATAATAATGATACGATGGAAACAAATTAGCATAATAATATTTTGGGAGCATACAGTTTAGTATAAGAAAAAGGGGACACATGGCAAACATTTATGTAATGATAATAAATTGCGACACTCAGGTCGGCCCACGAGGTTCCGCGTGACACCGACGGTGTTTGAAATTTAATAATATAATARTAACATTTGGCTAACCATAGGGTTACCGCCCGAGCTGTCGCGTAAAACAGAATATATATATAATAGGAGAGAGGGAGAAGGAAATATTAYGACACCCAAATTTTAGAGGGGTATGGGGGGAAAAAGAACTTAATACATTACAAGACGACACGATGTTGACTGTTGAGGTGGTTGTTGACGTTCCGGGGATACGGGTAGGCTGACAAACTGTCGCCGGCGCACACGTGGCCGACATGGCCCACCTGGTCGTYGGAAACGTCGATCCTTTTTGGAGAGGAGCCTCATCATAGCCCCGGTCATATGGCCACCACGGCCCATTGGCATGCTCAGCCCATCATGTTGGAATTTCGATCACGGTTTTAATACCAAAAAGAAAACAATGGTTGCGTTGAAAAAAAAATCGTGGGTGTCCACGTGTGACTGTGTGAGTGTTATCCGGCAAGGAGTCCGGGAGACGTAGTAGACTGTTAGGAGTCTTTTCAGTTCA